AAGCCAGTTACAGCTAGCTCGCCACACTAAGCCATTGAAACAGAAAGGCAAACCGCTGCATCAGCTAATCGATGAGCTCGTCTCTGCCGGATGGAAATAAGATGATACTGGTCGTGCAAACATCAGGCGGTGGCGATTAGGCTGCAGTCAGGAGCTGACAGACCGATTGATCAGCCTTAAGCCGATTTTCATAACCTATATTTTGAGGTTCCGTTAGGAATTGCACGACATGACGATGAACCTCCTCTACACAACATACAAACCGTTCGAAAGGATTAAGATAAAAGCTGAAATGCATGCGTAGAACTGGATTTTTTTGTACAAATTCACGAAACCGAAGGACCAGGCGTCAGAAAGCACCTCAAGAGTTTTAGTGTTAACATCCCAATAAGAGGGATTTTAGCGCTGCCACACACTCAGACATTCATTCTACATTGCTTCATTCCCAAGGAAGAATCACTGATCCACGACCTATTCCATGCTCTGACCACATTAAGCCCAGATGACACCGAGGCAGTGGTGCTTAAAAGTGTCCAGTCAGACTACATCGTAAACATGCTGACTCGAACAGGTCTACCTACTCCAGAAATAACTGGTTGTTTTACGTCGTGTATACCATCTAATTGGTCCCATTTCTATCGCTTGTAAACCTGTGTACGGCTGAAGAGATGCTTCCATCTGGTAATTCATACATCCTCCCTGTCTTCACAGTATGGGAATCAATATTTTAGGTCTATTCTGTTGCTTGTGAATGTTCTGCAAACCACGTCGCTTGTACGACTCGAAGCCGGTCATCGAGGTCTCAACCTGGAATTCTGAAGGCTAGATTACAGAAGACTGGTAACAGCATAGGTCTTAGCCATTTGCTGGAAAGTGGTCACAGACTCGACCTAAATCTAACTTGATTTCTTGTCATTCCGAAGATGCTCAGGCCCGGTTTTCAGTCTGATTTTGCAGTCTTAAATGTTAGTCCATACATTTCATAAAACAGCTGTTGGTTTTTGTTTTACTATACGTCTCCTGATCATCAACAGTCTTGTTTGTAGTAGGTAGAACAGTCAAAGAAATTCAAATGAGTGCCTTCCTATTCTATCGATATTCAGCTGCAGTTTGGATGTAATTTCACGTCGAACCTATGGTCTGCCTTTCCTTCTGTGAACATCGTATCAACTGCTCCACAGTCGTTTTCCTCTCATAAGAATGTTTGGACCCTGGATGTCTCATCTGTCATCCCGGTTTATGAACCAGTGCTCTTAGTGGTTATATAAAAAACATTAAGATGTCCATCAACACCGATTACCAAATGTATGGACGGGCTTACATATATTTCTGAAGTTTTTTTCATTTTCAGTTCATAAGCACTCGTTCACCGGTGAGATGAGCTAACCTAATACATAACTTTTTGTTTTTGTTTAAAGACTGTCTTCACACTGAGTGGCGCGTAGTTCCGATTTCGACATTGGACCCCGTGTGCCAGGCTGAAATCGAACCTCCAATAATAGAATTGGTGAGACTGATCCAGGTTGATCCAGAGATGGCAGTACTGCTCTGGATCCGTTGGAGGAGCCAGTGTGTGTGTGTGTGTGTGTGTGTGTGTGTGTGTGTGTGGACCACCATTTGTGTGGACCACCATTTGCGAAGGCAAATGGCCTAATTCCTTGTAGAAGGACGTTGTCGTATTGTTATTGATGGTTTGATTAAGAAGTGATCGAGGGTCTTCAATTTCCTATCATCTAAGGCACTCTCCGCAACCAGATTAGTTAGTTAGTGCTTACTGCATCATCCCAAAACTTCAGGCTGACAAATAATACAGGCAACAAGTTCATATTGTTCGTGGAAACTTAGAATTTCCTAAGCCATTAGCTCCAAATCAGGATCTTAACGACAAAGCAGTTTAGTCACACTACCACAAAGCAAAATATTTTTGAAGGACTCCAGGTAGATGAAACAAAATTGGCACGAGAGCCGAAAAACGGAACTTATCTCGATGTTCCAAAATCTGCCATAGGTTGTATATTATCCGGCTGACATGCTTCTCAGAAAAAAATTGCCGTAGTCTGGTCGTTCTTCAAGATTTTGAGGACTAGAAAAAACGAGGATCTGTGCGGTGAAATCCATGGCAGTGATTCTCTGATAGACCTCACAGATTGTAGGCGATGGGGTTCAAAATCAAGATTCGATAGTTTTTAGATTCAGGATAATATTTGTGGTATGCTTTCAGTATTACAGACTGTCATCACCTGCTGACGGTTTGTAGCTTTAAGGCAACCAACAATCAAAATAATGACCGCTCGAAAGTGCTCGTAAAGCGACGCTTTTAGGTTTCCTATTTTGGAAACAGAGCGTTCAATGCTTTTTCACTGGTCTGACAAACAGATTATACCTATTGTGTTTTCTTCTCCACCTGATCACCTGCCAACCCGCCAAATTTTGCGCGTACACGGCTGCAAGGACCAGCTCTTGAACTCGACGACACGATATGGAAGGAAATTTTAAGTAAAGTCGGATTTTACTAGTTATGAAATCATATTTGATCAGTGTGATAAACAGTCGCTTCTGATGGCTGGCCTCACCCTCCAAAGTTCGGAGGTCATGAACCGCGTAATGGCCCACCCGCCTCTGGAAGTGAATCTGTGTCCTGGTGCGAAAAACTAATTCAACCTTTTAGGGCGGGCTTAACGCATCCAGTGAGTCTTAATCGTGATGGTACAGTTTGTTTGTTGTCAACTGCGTGGTTAGGTAGATTCAGTTGATTCTATTCCAACTGACGGTCTTCCACCAGAGATGCCCGTCGATCAAGGTCAGGAATAATCGATTTGAGAAGTGACGTGACTGTCGCTCAAATATAACATTATCAGATGCGGTTCGGGGTGCTAGACGCGCATAATGACGACAGCAGGTTGATTCGGCGAGACGTCGATCGCAGGCTACAGATCATCTAGGAATACTTTCGATGAGGCCAAAATTCTTGGATGATTTAGGGCGGTGATAGTTACTTCATAGTATCAAAATTTTAGCGAAAAACATTTCGTGCTTACTGAATTTTTCAAACCAACGCCGTGTTTCTGAAACCTCGAAAACACCGCCTCCATATCTTCCACCTTGCTGATTTTATGATTCATCTATTACCCTATCAATGAGAATTTGACTTCTCATGACCATAAAAACTGTACAAATACGGACAGGTTTAATGTGGGCTCGCTTTCTTTTCGAGACAGATATCCACCTGGCTGTAAGTCGCGCCTTCTTGTCTTAGATGGGAGTTTTCGAGTTTAAATGGCGACTCGATATTGAGCGAATTAATTTGAATTTCAGCCTGCCTGTGTAGCCTAGTTCAGCCTTCGTATCAGGACATCAAGTGCATTACCAAGACACCAGATTCAGTTGATGAAAACGCCTTTTAATCGCTTTGTATCAATTAGGTCGCCAACTCTATCCGCATGTCTAGTTTCACGCGGTCACATGGCTTTTACGAGCTCCGACTCTCTATAATCCACAAATCAAAGTTTCGTGGTAGAAACAGTAAGGAAACATTTTTGCATTGGAGTCGGTTGAGCTTGTCGATGAAACCAAAGTTCGTTTACTTCTCTGGAAACCCGGTCCGACCGAGCATGCCAGACATACAAACCATGTGCCCCCTTGCTAAATCGCGTACTCGATTATTCAACGACAAATTCAAGACTGAAAATGATGTTTGGTGATATCATGTTCCTGTTCAGTATCCATTTCTGGTGTCCTCAACTAGTCAGACGTGACAACGACGATTTCGTCAGGTGGGTTGGCCTTGTCAATCACGAGCACTGTTATTTCAAACTTGGTTCCCTTATCGAAGAACTATCCCGATGCATGTCCCTCATTGGCGGCCTCAGGTAGCCCCCGAATGCCGGTCTCCCAATCCGCCTTCTAGCCAGAATCGACCAAAATTTGGCAACTGGTTTAAACCCAATTCGGCTGACAGCGTATCCAGCCTACTGGTAACTTTTCAGATCAACACAACAAAACACCGTCAGCTTGCCTCCATCAAATTGAATGTTCCAAGCTGAAACACCGTGCTCAGCTACGAGTTCTGGTTATGTGCTGAAAGCCAACGTTCCCAGTTTAGGGTCACTGCCAATGCCTTCAAATAAGGCGTCAACATGAGTGTATCTCACTGTTTCTCAGAGATCTCCGAGAAGGATGTCAGTTACACCTAACAAACGGTTGATCCGGCCGAGAAGAACTGCGGACAGATCGGGGCGGAAGGCTTTGCCGTTATCTTTGCTGCCGAGAATACCCATGAGCTTATCTATGGTCGGCATTACACTTGGGTTACCAACTGCAGACCACTTCTGTCAATTAATGGTCACTGAAATGCATTCCAGTCTAAACCGCTGATTGACCACAACTGTGGATCACCATGCCTCTGGCTTACAACTTCTCGATCCACCAACAGTGCACAAAAGATTTCGGCCAATTTGGTGGTTTATATCGCCTCATTAACAACTATCGAACAACCGAAGGGAATACCTCACTTATTATTACGGAGAGATGAACGTTGGCATTTTCCGGATGCTATTCAAATGATCCCAGTACTCGCCACCGATATCTGTCTCAACTATGCTTCGAAACGAATGCTTAACCAAACCAAACGATTCGCTCTAGTCAGTCGACCAAGAGCTCCATCTAGTAACCTCCAACAGCTCTACTGTCACTGAGATTTCGTTTTTGCGGCCGACACTTGTTCCATAACTGCCGGAAGCGCGTCCCTTCTCTCATCTCTGTGAACTGCCCTACTACTTGGCTTTCGCTCTGATTATTCTGATAAGCTACGTTAACCGGCCCTGTATGCACACGCAATTCAAAGATATCGGCAGACATTTTTCCAAGTGTCAATAGGCAACGAAGCTTCCTACCGGACAAGACTCCGTACCTCTCCAGACACCCCGAGGGCGCTGATAGATGCCCAATCAAAGTGGTCCAGGATCCTTTCAGTATCTTCGGTGATATCTCCAAATTTTCAGCCAACATGGCTCGCCTGAAGTCCTCCCGGCAGAAAACTGTTCACAGCCCGTCTCTGTTCAATTCGATTATTGTCACCGCTCCAGCATCCAGCATACTACCTTACCATCCACAGTCCAATGATCAGACCGAACGTTTTGTCGATACGTTCAGACGGGTATTCTTCAAGCGGCGGTGGGAGACGATGAGGGCTATCACGAGACACCGAGCACTGAAAATCCGTGTGACTGCGCGTCGGCCGAAATCTTGATCGGTTATAAACTGCTTGTTTCTTAAAGCTCTAATCACGACCTAACGACCGACGCTGATACGTTCCCAGCCCGATGTCAATGACGTATTTTCAAAGCCAATGGTCTACTCACAATTGTCAACCTAATCAAGACAACTGGTCCGAAACCACTCCTTACCCATGTCTCCTTTGATGATCGCAACTGGGTGCGCCATCTCGACCATCGACGTCATCAGCGGTTTCAAATGACAAGAGACCTGTCCCAACAAACAGTGCGTCTTTATGTCTGTCCGGAAACCATTGCGACTCCTGCGCACACCCTGCAGGAGCCCACGATTCCAAAAACTCCGCGGCTATATGTGTGACGTTGGACCGACCAAGTGCGGTGCCCGGTGAAAAAGTCTTAAATAATTCCTTGAGGACTGAAGGTATGAATAATCATACTTCAAAAGGTTGGAGTCGAGATAAAGCCCTATTTCTCAGTATATGTTAAAAGTGCATCTAAATGAGGCTAACGCGATTCTGGACGCAAGCGCATTTCAAGATTTGGCTACATTGTGAGCACGATTACTCGAGGCAAATCGCTACCCCCAAATGAAATTGACTCTGCAGAGATCTAGGCTATTCACTGGAATGCTGTAGTGTAGCCAATGACTCTGCTGTTTGTGTGACTTCTGATAGTTTGCGAACTTTTTTTCATAAACAGAGGGGCGTCATCAGCGCTTAGTTGGGTGGTGATATGTCACTTTAAGTGCTGAGCAGTTGTGTTGGTATTATTTGTTCTGTGTTAGGCATGTTATGGCATTTTAGGCATTTTATGGCTCCCTCACTGATGGCAACAGAAACAGTGCGAAGTATCCAGCATCTATCACGTACAAGTCTTATCCCGCTGAAAGACCCATCTTTGCCTCTGGAAGGGCACTGAATGCGCCACTGCCTGAGAAAAGCCCTAATGACATTCAAGTTCACTATTTCGGACTTCCTTTAAAAGAGCGAGAGAAGATTACACTAGAGGCCTTTGGCTTTTATTTGGGGGTGAATTCTGTAGAAATTGCTGAGAACGGTGAAAAAACATGGCTACGGTGGTCATTGGAGTCCAAAGTTAATCCGATCCACCGAATCCACGGGACACCGTACAGGCTTCAGTTATATTGTCTTGAAACCAAGGTTCGATTAAGGTTTGATCTGTTCGCCCAGATTGGAAACTGGATTGCAGGCGTTTCGCCACCATGGCAAGAACACAGTCAGTTCACTCAATCGCGCTCACCAAGCTCGCTCAGTGGATCCACCACCACCTTATTACCAGACAATAAACACACCAAAGCTATCGACAACGTCCACCTACTAGGTTAAGTTGTGCAACACGGTCATAGATGCCATAAGAAATGACGAGTGCGGTAAGGTTCTTTTCTCCAAAACGCATCCTAGTTTGTTGAATATCTCTAATTATCCGGATTGAAAGTCTGTTCGTGTCATTATCTCGAGTTAATTGGAGCTACATGAAGGTTCGCTGCGATGAGGCACAACGGCCGGAAACTTCGTCGTTTTCATCGCGAGCGCAAAGAGCACTTCAGCAATGAGTGTGAAAAATATCTTCGACAGCTATAATGACTGTCGCCGACTAACACCAAGGTAGCATATCCTTTATCCCTAATAAGTCTCATGGGAAGCTGTAAAACCTGATATTTGCCACTCCAACACCAAGTGTTTCTTCGTCGTTCGAAGGTTTTCTGAATTTCGTCCGATGTCAAACCTAGATAGCATTGAACTTTGGATACCGTACACGGAAAAATCCTTGTCCGAACAGCGTTCGAATCTCCTGAAATCCGAAGGAATGTTTTCTCCGTGTTACCGGTGGACTGCTGGAATTTAGATGGAATTGTGGTAGCCTAACTTCTCTACAATTCAGTGACATTCCTAGAGCAAGTTTCCTTTCTAGGAAAGCGTTTAGTACTACTCCTAAAGCTAGCGACAATTCCTAGGGATGAATTGCGTCTTAAAAGCGTGATAGTGATTGCCCTCGCGGTTGGTACTGTGAGGACATAGGTTAGCATAGATGGTTGTTTTGGAGCTCTATCAATGAAGCAAAACGCACCAAGATAGTTTATTGAATACTCCGTCTAGGCCAAATGTATTGCGGTGCTTTACAGTGCTGATAAAAACAATAACAACTTCAATGATGAACTCAGTATACGATTGAGAAAGACAACAAAATAATTTGTGCATGACCGCCACATTGACGTAAAGTCGAAATGATTCAAACGGCCTTCAATGCGTAAAACAAGGAAGGAAAATAAACCCACAGTCACGAAGCTGAAGCTTCGAAATTGGAGGTGTAGTTTATTAGGCAAAACACAAGTTCACAGTTGAGGATGAGCACTTTGACCGACCAGCTGGTCAGTAGATGATAAAGTTCGGAGGTAACTAGCGGACTTTAGAATGTTATTTCAGGATTTAGAGAAATCGAAAATGGGTGGGTTGATAATCGCAACAGGGTTGAAAGCTCGGTCAAACGAAGTTCCCTTGTATTTGATCTAGTTGAGATGCCAGCTGCTACTCCTCTAATGTTGCTGGCAGTCGCTCGACCGACGAGCGGGTTAAAAGCTAACGAATCTAGTCAAGCAAGCGGTATTTTGCGACCGCCACAAACCAGGCATTTTTTCATCAACTTAAAAAAAACACTGTTCTAAGAAGTTTAGCAAGACCGACGCTGTGACTGCCAGCGTCGAACTTAAAGTCGAAGGAACAGCGGGATGCCGTGTGAGCCACCGAGCTAGACTGTATAAAATAAAGGCATCCAAGAAACTGCCGCCTGGTGCCGATGTAGATAAGCTGAACAGTAATCAGCCGACGAAACTTAGTTCCAACTATTCAATGAATGGAATACAGAAACCAAGCACAATATGGGGCAGTCATCGAACAAAAAAGGTGTATGGGATCGCAGGGTATCACAGTGCTGTGTGTGTGGGTGCAGTTACTTTATCGACTGAACGAACGCCAAACCAATGATTAACCTAGGGATTCCCCTAGGGATTCGCACTTTGCTGAAGACCCTAAGGAATGGAACAGCTGTATGGTACTTAATGGTTCTTCAACATAGCTTAACCTTCCTTCAAGGACAAGCTCCAACATTTATCTTAGTTCCCTTCAAACTGTTGACATCAATCCAGCGACTGGCTTTCTAACCATTACCAGTGAAACAATCGTCTCTCCTGATCAGCAGTTCCCGTCTATATTTGCAAAATAAATTTGTCTTCCATCTCATTTCAAATCGGTTTTGAGCCACAGTTGATTATTCTCTACCTGACAGAACAGTATCATAAGGACATTGTCGCTTGATCAGTTAACACCTTGAAAGCAGACGCGCACGAAGGCGCCCCTCGCGTGCCGACGGATCCAGGCCCCTACCGGTGAACTGAGGCCACCGAAGCGTTGTTATTAAACATTACCCCGCAAGCTAAACAAGATCAAACCGAACAAATATTTGTCGCGTCTCGTGCCTTAGAGCTTGAACTGAAATCAATGACCTTAACAATCGTAGCAAAAACATTTCAAATCCAGTTGGGTCTGCCGGTCTGCGGCCACCGATACCGAATGTTTGTCTGCCTCAGAGACACTCGTATATACCGGAGGGGGGGTGTGAGGTGTCGGAGTGTGACAAATATGCCGCTGATTAAGGGTCAAGTGCCGGTAGCTTCGATTGTTTGGATCTATTAGTTGTATGTTAGCTAGTGTGTGTCAGTTTATCAGAGTCGAAATGATGAACAGAGGTAGTGATTAAAAAGTCTCGCATTATGGTTACAAGTCCGGTCAAATTCTTTAGTTTCAAACCAGGATCTATTAGATGTTAGCTAGTGTGTGTCAGTTTATCAGAGTCGAAATGATGAACAGAGGTAGTGATTAAAAAGTCTCGCATTATGGTTAGTTACCCGGTCAAATTCTTTAGTTTCAAACCAGATCCGTTCGGCACCTACAGTCCAGGACATGGGTGCTAATTTGGACGAATATATATATATATAT